GATCAGAAGAAAACAACCTGTCCTAAAATCTCCTTCCACAAAGAGATGATTATAATTTTTGTCCAGAATTTCAAATTGGGCTGGAACTATTTAATTTCAGATTTTTCTTCTACTGTATGTGTTTGGAACATAGACTTAGATCTCGGTAATATTGAAAAGCATCTTTTGGAAGGCTTTCATTTCAGATTGAGCCTGATCCTGTCACTTGGATAGACTCTATCTGAGCACTGACTGTAGCAATCTTTTGATGATGATGATGGCTAACTCATTTCTTATATGATTTTCTTATCTACAGCCAAAGGTACAATGGTTCTCTGCTGGGTAGTATCCATTCCATTTGATTCCTTTTCAGTTCACCGATTCCTAGCAGTGAATGTCAGTGGTCAGTCTTGACATTTCTGTGTCAAGTTTCCCTGCTTTATGAGTCTGACATGTACCAGTGATAGACATGCTGTTCTAGGGCTGAACTTTTTGTTTTTGAGCAGAGACTTCCTTTCTGCTTTAATTCAGCCACATCATAAGCACCGTTGCCATTTCTACTTGCCTCCGCTCTTCCCCACCAGCTTGTGACTCTGAAAATCTTTCCACTTCTCACCTCCTGGGATTGTCTTTCTCATTTTGAATTTCAGTGATGCCCTCCCACTGTTCCCTCATTGCTTTCTTGCTGTTCTGAGTGATGACTTTTGTGAGCTCCCGCAGAACAAACTCTTGGTTTGATGTTTCTATTTTCTTCTTGCAACAAAGGCAAACCTGATGAGAATGGAGTACGGGGCTGCTAACTTCCTTGTTTAGCTCTCCACTATTGACCAATTTGGAAACAGCTCTGGTCAGTTCAAGGGAGAAGGTAAGGAGACCAAAGGACCATTGAGAGCTGGGAAAAAATGCTGCTGATACTCTAAAAGTGTTTCTCAGCATTACTGGCTAGGATATTCTGGAAACTGAAGTCAACCTGTCTTCAAATTGCCAAGGTTGAGAAACACTGCTTCAGAGACCAAACCTATGCAGAAGGTGCCTTAATCTTTTTTTGGAATTAAGTTTAACATGATTTGTTGTTTTGGTCTAGGTGTCATGTAGCACTCTTATAGATTGGTGGCGAAAATTATCATAATACAGTACAATAGGAAATAGGAAAAAACGTACCCTTTGAATCAGCACTGCAACCAACCATACAGATAAGCAGTTTTAAAAGGGGATTAAAGATTTTAGTCAGCTATGGCTAATCTTGACAATCTAAGTTAGTACTTAAAGATCACTGTTGTCTAGATCAGAGATTCCCAACTAGGGACTGGTTTCGTGGAGAGAGGTTTTTCCCTGGACCCGAGAGTGCATGGTTTGTGTGCTGCCTGCATCTCGCGGATGGGGCTTTGCTTGTTTGTGCGGACTGGTTGCTGGCATGCTGCAGCCCAGTACTGGTCCAAGGACTGGGGGTTGTGGACTCCTGGTCTAGATAATACTATTAAGTAACAAAAATGAGAATAAGACAATAGCAAATCTTTTCCGTATAATTGCAAAGAAAACTATATGGACACATTCATGACATTATCAAGAGTTGAGCCTGAATTGAAGGAGACTTTACATTATATAAAAACATACATACATACAAAATTACAAATTTCATTACATACAAAATGATTATCAATACTATTAATCTATAACCTGTAACTACTGCCAGATCTCAACCATAATGCATTTTCTGTCTCTGTAAGGCACTTATTGTGGCTGAGCTGGCAAGATATACCATTAATTTATATCACTATAAATCATTAAATTCATTAGCTGCCATGCTATAGCATGCTAATATTTTCTTTTCTCCTAGGGGAAAATAGTAATTCGATGAGTGTTTCTCTCTCTCTCTTTCTCTTTTTGCATAGCACCAAACCTAACAGGTATCTGACTATATGTGTGTATTATATTATTGTATGTAGGGTCGATACTGTATTTAAATATTTATTGACTGGTGTCATGGTATGCAGCAACAGGATATAACAAACAATCACTCCTGAATTGTGATGACTAGTCTTGCCCTTTAGAAGTGAAACAGAAGATTGTGTACACCCAGCCTTGTTGTCAAGGTGAAACAATTAAAAAGTCATTTGGCTTCAGTTTTGGAAAGTCTGATGGTAAAATAATGCTATTTCTTTCTTGCTGCACATAGATCCATGTTGGGAATCATCATCTAGTTGTGGGTTCAAAATTCACAAACGCTAGATATATTTTAACTTGTTTCTCTGATTGTCATGAATATTGTGCACAAAACACAATAAGTCCACTTAAAAATATTTTGGGTGCTTGGCGGCCACCCAAAGTAACTTTTTGTGAGATAGGCAGCTATATAAATTTGCTAAGCAAACAAACAAAAATTGTGTGGATTGACTTCACACAGCCTGTGAATAATGATGCTAGCTTGAGATTTTTTCAGTGGACATGCAAAGTGCAGTTTCTCTCTCTCTTTTTTTCCATTTTCTTTTGAGCTCAGAACAGAACAATATAAGGTTTTGCTCTGAGCTATTGTTATGTAGATGTGTATGACACTACACAAACATAAATATATTGGGAAAGAGAAAAACATGGTAAGCAACCATGGCAATAAACCATGACTGGTCTATCTGTAGTCCAATAATTAAACCATAATGGAAATACGGTTAGCCATGAATAATTGCTTAGGCTGAGTTCACACAACCCACTGAGCAAGCAAACCACATTACAGCTTAGTTTACTGTGTGAACAACACTATATCTGGCCTTCAGAGATATTTTGTATACAAGGGGTAAAATAATCATAACAGTAATAGGCTGCAACTGGAATATCAACTGGAATATCATGTAGATAGAAAAAAATAAATGAGCAGTCATAGTAATAAATTAAGACAAAACAAAATTGTAGGTTCTGTTGATCACCAAGTTAGGGTTATTAGAACTGCAAAACTCTAGATGGCAACAAAGAAGTAGGTTTCTCTGACTCTTTATTAGTGGTTGTCCAAATTGCAGCACAGAGTTGAGAACCTTAATTAAGCAGAGTTTTCACTGTACTCTATGAATCAACTATAGGTCAGGCATGTCCAGACAGATGTTTTCTGTGAACTCTGGTTTGATCTTCAAGGACATAACTGGGAGGACTAAATGGACATCATAAAAGAAGAAGGCAAAGATCTTATTACAAAGGGAGGCCGAGATAGCTTCTGCTCATTCCTGTGTGGTGAGAGACTAATGTCCTTGGAAGCAGAGAGAATAAGGCTTTTTTGTGCTACAGACAACTGAATTAATTTCATTCAGGCCAGGAGATGATGAATTTGTACGTCATGGTGGGTGGTTAAGGAAGGCAGACGTGACCAAGCATGTTAGGAAGTTATTTTTAAGGCTGGCAATATAGTCTGGTTCAAACAAAACTTCTGTCAGCAGATTCAGGACCAGGCTTGCATCTATAGAAGGTTGCATCAAACAGGGAGTATGGACAATTTTTACCTAAACTGATTTGCAATGATGATTTGTCCTGTCTTGCTGGATCCAGATTCTTGTTCATTCTTCATCTTTGACCATCAATTGCAAATTGGTAGTTGTAATCTAAAATATTGTCTCTGTAATAGCTCTTACTTTGCAAAATCATCCCCAGAGCTGAAGAAGCTTCTTGGATGAGAAGCGAAACGTCTTTAAAGAAAAATAAGTAAGTCCAGTTACATGTTGAAAAAGCACCTTTGGGGCAACCATGATCTGGATGACTGAGAATCTCCATAGACATTTATCATCCCCTTCATGAAATTTCAGATGAAGTTATTGACCCCCAAAATTTATTATATGAAGATAATAACAAATGCTGGCCTACAAACCAGGAAATGGTAAGTTCTAGTCCTGCCTTAGCCATGAAAGGCGGCTGGATGATCTTGGGCCAGTCACTCTCTCTCAGGTCAATCCACCTCAAAGGGTTGTTGTGGGGGAGATAGGAGGAGGAAGTAAAAATAGGTTTGCTGCCTTGAGTTACTTATAAAGTAAAAAAGGTGGGATAAAAATCCAATAATAAACACTACTTCAGCTAATAGTACTATGCATAATAATAATAATGCATAGTCTTGTCAACCCTTGGAGGTCAATAGAATTCTGCTCTAGAAAGACATTCTGGGAATTGCATAAATCTGCTTCCTTTAAAGGAGATGGTGGCTTCCAAACTGATTGATCAAAGGGATGTAGTTCAATTTTTTTCCACTGGACTTTATTTTGTTGTTTTGGCTTGTATTTTTACTATACACAGTCCAGAGTCTTCATATTAAATGTAATAAGCAAATAGTGAAGAATGCATATAGCTTAGGATCTTATTATTGGTTTGTGTTCTCTCAGCTTGGTTTCATATTTGTTGGTCTGATAATGCAATATCTACAAGGGGAAAAAAAAGCTAATAAAATTGTGTCTACTGCGGTAACCGCAACAAAGAAATGCTGCGCCTGAGAAAATCCAGACGACCACTAGATGGCAGCAAAGATGGCAATAATCCAGAATAACAATGACACGCAGGTCCCCTGTTGCACGTGTGTACTCAAACACGCATCTACCTAGCTATCTTTCCATCGATCGAGTATGCTTTCATGCACACTTGGAATAAAATAAATTCGAAATCGATTTGAAGAGGCGGCTGGAGTTGGAGTTTAGCAGGCGGCTGCTAAATTCACCAAGTTGGAAACTTCAGCCTGTTAAACGTGGTTAACGCACTTGAATTTGGGCAGGGTTTTCAGACCCTTCCCATTAAATGGTGTCTTTATTTCCCCGTCCTCGTTCAAGCCGGCAATTCTGGTCTTAGGGCTCCATTGCGGTCCGAGGCAAAGCTGCGGCCGCCCGAGGCTCGGATGAGAGCGAGGCGCACGCCAGGGCCGGAAGGTAGCCCGCTGCCCCCGCCTCCCTCCTCTCGCTCTCAGCTGGAGCCAACCTCGCCGGCCCTCCTGAGCCCGAGTGGGGAGGAGCCAAGAAAGGGGCGGAAGTGCAAACAAGAGCTCGGGGCGAGAGGGCTTCGGCTTGGAGTTTGCCCTCTGTCGCGCACACGCCGGTCGGTCGGAGCGCTTGCGGTCTTGCGCGCCTCTCCAGCCTCCGCCTTGGAAGTGAGTGGTGGACGGGCTTTGCGGAGAAGGGACGGAGGGAGGGCAGCCGCCCGAGGCTGGAGGGAAAGCTTTCTTGGGAGGTGGTCGCGGGAAATCAAGGGCGCGCGGACGGACGGACGGGGCGAGGGCGAAGGTGGCTTTTGCGCGCCTGGGAGGAGGAGCAGCAGCAGCGCGTCCGCAATGGGGACGAGGGAGGCGAGGCGCTTCTGCGGCACCTTGCAGAATGGGAGGGCTGGGTGGAGGCGTTCGTGCTTTTCCGAAGCGCCGGCTGAAATTTGCACCGCGTTTGGGGACGGAAAGGGAGCCGGGGGACCGGGTGGGAGCTGCTACTACGACCCCAGCGCCCTGGGCAGAACCAGACAGAGCTAAAAGAGGGACGCTTTTCACCCAGTGGAGTCCCTTGGTGAAACGTTTCCCTTTTTGAGCTGGCCCCTCCCGTGGCGTTGCTTTTTAACAGACGTGCCTTTTAAATGCTGCTGTAAGGTGTCGCTTCTTCGATTCCCGCCCCTCCTCTTTCTTTTCATCTAAGAGTTGAGAAGCGGCAACAAGTCAATATTGCTTGGTACCCCGAGATTAGTTTGCTCAGGTTGCTGTACTTCTGCTTTTCTTTTTCTTTTTTTTTCCGGATCTCTTTCACTCTCTCTCCTTGCCTTCCTCCCCAGCCCCCAAGTCATTTCATCAACAGGACTTTCCTTAAGTGGCCCGACTGCCTGTTTAGTAAATCAGTAACTCTGGGCATGTTAAAAGACAGTGGAAATAAAATAAAATCAACTGGGCCAATTTTTTTTTTTCGCAGTAGGGCGATGAAGTAAAGCAGACGTGTGAGAAATTTGCTTTATTTGCTTTTTGTGCTCATGACTTTTTGGCAGCTGCCAAATAACCTAGATGCATTCCATCCACCAACTTCGTAGCTAGTGATATGTTGGCCTTCAATGCCTGGCACCAATTAAGAAAATTTCTTGAGATTTCTGTTTACCAAGATTTAATGGCGCTCTGGGATTTCTATTAGTGCCTGCAGACAAATGCAACTTTTGAATATGCTACGTGTGCATAGTTGCACATGTTGAAGCTACCAATTTCTTCCATTGCTCTTATCATGAAGAAAATGTAGATTTCATAAAAGGATCCACAGGCAAGCCATTCAAGCAGTTATGCTTTTTTTTAGTAAATTTCTGATGAGTGTTTTTCAATAATACTTTCAGGTGCTATATTAAGTATGTGCTTGTGAATGGAATGAGAATAAGCATTTGGAAGCTATCACGATGTCCTGGAATAGACAGGATTATGGATTTAAGAACCACTAGTGATATTTAATATTTGATTATCTCCATTCTCCCTGCTTCCCCCCCCCCCCCAGACCTGCATGCTAAAAATCATCAAATGATATCTAAGGCTAGAAGAAAAATATTCCATTTTCCAAGAAACTTTTAAAAGTGTTTCATTAATGCCAAGTAACTTTTGCACTGAGATAGACTGTTTATAATAGTTGTATGCTAGTGTGTTTGTGCAATAAATCCTAGTGATTTCCGTATGTTATTCCAAACATTTATTACAAGTTATCCAAAATCAGTTAGCCTTAATTAATAAGACGGTGTTTCAATCCATTAATTCATACAAAGGGAACAGACAGGCTTCTGAAAGACTGTGGCCAAGAATTGATTGAAAGGCCTTGCTATCCCTGTGAAGTTCTGCCTGCATTCCTAGCTATCTGTCAGGTTCACCCAATATTATGATCCTAATTATTGGATGGTCAATTGGTTATGGCTTAACATTTGCAAATACTGTGTTGCAAATGGTTGCTTGTTCAACAGACTAGGACTGGACAAGGTACCACTCAGCAGATGTGTAAACACGCTCTCTCTTGATTCTATGACTGAGGTATCAAATATCAAACAGCCACTAGAATGTTGCTAGTTCAAGATTGTATTATTTATTTTAAAAAGAAACCAACAACATTTGTCCAAGTATATTTCTCTTGGAGATACAATACCTTTAGAAATGTATCATACTAAAAGATTGTGCAGAGTTGTTACAAGTTGAGTGGCATACAAATTTAACAATAAAATTGGATTTTAAATTGGCATTCTGATCAGTCCTAAGCAGGGTTTCCAGTTTTGTTGATTTGCCAACTACTGTACATTCATCTAAAATAAATATTCTTCAAAAAACTATGGTTCACCCACACTACTTAATTGACCTTCCATCTTAGGTATTAAATGACTTTACAACCATTTCTGCTCTGGTTTTATTTTTAGTGTTATAAAATATGCAAAGCTATGTAAGAGACACATATTTTCGACCTAGAAAATATTATAGCATTGTAACTTATTTGAGATCTGGGCCAGGAGAAAAGCCAGATCTTTCCATTCTAAAAATTATAGCTTGGCTGCTTGTAAAAAAATATTTCACTTGCTTAATGTCCTTGTATTATGTAAATCAGGGGTCCTCAATCCCCAGTCCGTGGACCAGTACTGGGCCATGGCATGCCAACAACCGGTCCGCACAAACAAGGAAAGCTCCATCCACAGGATGCAGGTAGCACACAAAACCACCACCCCCTCCAGTCCATGGAAAAACCTCTCTCCATGTAACTGGTCCCTGGTGCCCAAAAGGTTGGGAACCTCTGATGTAAGTGACATGCATCAATTGCTGCACTGTATTGCAAGAGGTAGGCCAAATACTTCTTTGAAGGCTTTAATTAATTGAAAAACGTAACACATTTTATCATTGCTTATCCTTATTCCACCATTGGTAGCAGTTATTAAATCCATAAAGATAAATATATTTTTTTAAAAGAAAAAAATTTCATTTAAGAAAGTATCTCTTTGTTCATATACAGTATATACATTTGATAAACTTAATACAATTGAATATAGTTACATTATTAAAAAATCAGAATGGATATAAATGTAATTGTATCTTAAATATTAAGGATTGATGATGACCCATGCCATTCTACTCAATATTATACCTCAATCTCTCTGTAGTATAGATACTACAGTTTCAGCTTAACATTCATTAATATCCTATTATCATGACTTAGAACAGGGGTGTCAAACTCGCCGTGTCACGTGATGTCTCGTGACCTTTTTCCCCTTGCTGGAGCTGGGGTGGGCCACGTAACACATCCGGCCACAGACTGGCAGTTTGACACCCCTGATTTAGAGCAACAGTACAGGCAATCCTTGAATTATAACCGTAATAGAGCCTACCCATTACGGTCGTAAGTTGTGATAATTGTAAATGGCTCAGTCACATGACTGACCTGATTTTATAATGTTTTTTTTTCAGTGGTTGTTAAGTAAACCTAGTGGTTGTAAATACAAACACTATGGTTGTTAAGTACACCCATTGTTCACTATGGTGGGGAAGTAAGTGCCAGTTTTTGGCAAAACCATTGTAAAATATCATGCTTGCAGGATAGCAATAGCACTTAGACCAGGGGTCTTCAAACTTTTCTCTTTTATGACTTATGGACTTCAACTCCCAGAATTCCTCAGCCAGCGTGCCTGGCTGAGGAATTCTGGGAGTTGAAGTCCATAAGTCATAAAAGGGCCAAGTTTGAAGACCCCTGACTTAGACTTACAGCCCTCTCTAAGCGGTTTATAGCATATTGCCCTCAACAATCTGGCTCCTCATTTTACTGACCTCGGAAGGATGGAAGGCTGAGTCAACCTAGAACCAGTGAGACTCAAACTGCTGGCAGCCAGCAATCTGCAGAAGTAGCCTGCAGTATTGCATTCTAACCACTGTGCCACCTCACACTGGTGCAAACTGCCGTAAATGTGGCCATGTTACAAGTACTTGAAATCTGGTCATGTGACTCTGGGGCGGACCTGGCTGTAAGAATTTTGGATCTAGGTCATAAGTTCCTTTTTCAGGTAGCTTATAACTTTGGTCCCTAAATGATTGATTGTAAGTCGAGGACCACCTGTATTTATAAAATGAAAACATGAGATAGAAATCTTTCCAGCCCCTTCATAATAGTTTTACTGTGGTCACATGGCCACAAAGGGTCTTAGAATGAGAGTGTCAGAGATACATGGAGAGATTGGATTCCCCCCCCCCTACAGTTCCTAGTCAAATCTGGCCCATTTTCAAACTTAGTCTTTTGCTGGTTTCTTTCCTCACCACAGATTTGGTCTTATTTTATTCTCTTTTCAACAATTATCCTGCTAATGTCTAGACAGAATCAAGAGCCCCTTTCCATAATTTCTTTTTAACATTATGTTAAGTTGGAAAGAAAAAACAAGATAGGAAAAAAACATGCAAACCAACCTTCCCTGGAATTACTTCCAACCCTTTTGCCAACAATGGCTATAAAAGCTCCTGCATTTTTGTTGTTGTCATGAAATAACAGGTTGCCTCTGCATAGGCACATTTGGAAGGCAGGCTGCATATGGTCCAAGATGGGTCATAACTATAGAAAGGAAACTACAAGTGTGTTAGTATGGGTGAGTGTGCTTTAGAATGGAACCGTTAGCAACATTTGGAGGGGCTGTTCAACGCCTGCTCTGCTAGTTATGCACTGCGAGAAAGTATTTTATAAGAGGTTCCTTCACAGCCCCTGTAATGTTATTTGGCCTATTTTTGAACTCCAGCTTTCTTTTGCTGGCACTTCCCTCTATACTAAATTTAGGCCCTTCGGTTTTTGGACAGTTATTCTGTGATAGCTAGACAGATAGAAACCAACCTCTTTTAATTTATTTCCAACATTCTGTTAGGCTGGAAAGACTAAAAAGCTTATTTGGCATACTGCTTATTCTTTAGTCTGCACTGAGAGCCTTCAGCTAAGTTATAGTGTGTTTTGATCATAAATCATGGTTTGTGGCTTAATGCAAGGGAAAAAAAAACCCCAGTCATTCTCCATCACCAAAAGATGAACCAAAAGGAAAGAGTTAACTATACCTCTTCCTGATAGAGAGTAGAGCTTTTCTACTTTCCAAAACAGACCTCTCCCCTCAACCTTAATTCTGCTTTCCATAGAGAATGGATTGAAAGGAGATACCCGTAACTAGAGATCAGATTACAATGACACTTGCCATCTGTAATTGTGATGTGTTTAGATTGAGTTTCAGTAAAGAAAAGGCCAAATTACACTCTGTTGAAGTCAGTATTTGCATATGAAAAGAGCAGATTTCCTCATGGAGGAGGAAGAAGTTTTAAGCCCTGCCTTCTAGCAGGCAGAGGTGGAGTTAACACTTTCCTATCAGGTTCATTGTTCAATGACCAAAATAGTTTAGGCCAAGTCCTGACACAGTCCTCAAGCCATGGCTAAATAATCAATCAATCAATCTTGGAGGTCTTCTAGTCCAGCCCCCTGCTCCAACAGGAGACCCTATATCATTTCAGACAAGTGGCAGTCCAGTCTCTTCCATGACTTAAGCCAGTGATGGCAAACCTTTTAGAGACCGAGTGCCCAAACTGCAACCCAAAACCCACTTATGCATTGTCGGGTGCCGGGTGGGTGTGTCCCATTGGGTGGGTGTGTCCCATTGGGTGGGCATGGCTACGGTGGTAACAGCAGACTGGGTGGGACTAAAAAGTTCAATCAATCAATTCCAACTTTGCAAGACCTTTTTTTCCCTGCGAGAAGTTGAAATTGACTGATTGATTGAACCTTTTTTTTTGTACACGGCGGCGGAGGCCTAAAGCGAAAAGGTTTTATAAAACCCAGCTGAAGGTCTAGGACTGGGGCAATGGCGTGCGTGCCCACAGAGAGGGCTCCGAGTGCCGCCTCTGGCACCCGTGCCATAGGTTCGCCACCACTGACTTAAGCTATAATAATAATAAGCTATGACTTAACCTTATTAAGGATAGACCTTCATGCCACAATGGAAGCTAATTTGAATTGTTGGAATTCTCATCCTGGGTGACATCAGAGTTGCAGAGAGAGAACAAATGATATCTAGAAAATTTTATCAGCTGGGTTTTCAGCCCATCCTATTTTGGGCAAACATCAGGCATTTTTATAATGCATCCACATGAAGCATTTCCACTTTATAAGAGAATGAAATATCTTTCATAGAGATAGAGTTATGGATATTTAGCGATTCTAACTAAGCATGTCTTAAATTTATTCTGCATTTTATTCCTGAAATCTATTTTCAGAACAACTTTGCTCAAGAAGAAGAACAATGAAAAATTAAAAAAGTGGATGGTAATAATGCTGGTGAAATTAGGGCTGGGCATTTTTAAATTCTGAGATGCAAACGTGTTTGAAGTTTTTTTATATCCCCAATTTTCTGCTGTTTAATGACACTATAATAATACAAGTAATGCAACATTAGCACATTTATGTGTGTATGGGGGGAGGGGCAATTCATAACCTGAAAAAGGAACTTCAGAGACTTCATATGAGTTGAAAGCTGAGAAGCACTAATTCTGACTAAGATATTATTCATGATTTCACTGGCTACTGTGTTCTTGCTTGCATGGAGACTGTAAAAAAGGAAGCTGTTCTCAAAAATCAGGGCAAGGTTGAAAATGCCCATTTTTTGTTTGAAAGATCATGAAAAGCGAAGGATCAGTCATTCTGCATCCAAATTGTTTGTATATTCCAGAATAGACAGGAAGAGAGAGATCTCCTTCCTTAGAAGAAAGAAAATAGACTGGCTTGAATTATACTTTCTGCTAAGTCGACATTTGTGCTTTCTTGGGTTCAGGCTAGCGTGATGTGTGAATCCAGTCATTATGGCACATTCAACAAATAATTAAAACACATCCCCCTTTTCTCCCCATTCAAGATTCCTGGAAGAAAATATATGAAAGCTGATTGCATGGTTGTCCATTATACATTTTGAGGGAAGCTTGTGATTTACCTAGATTATATATGCCTTGTATTAAGACATAAGGTGGGTTAGCCACTGTGGTGAGTGCAGTGCATGAAACCAGTCAGAACATTAGCATCTGAGCTGCTTATGGGCATTTGGGTTGTATCTTTAGCATTCAGAATCTTCAAATGTCTCTTACAGATTGTTCCCTGAGAATTACTGCAGAAGACCATGAATAACTACAGTGTTGCACTTGTGGGTCCAGCTCCTTGGGGGTTCAGGCTCCAAGGTGGGAAGGACTTCAACATGCCTCTCACTATCTCTCGGGTAAGCATGTTTAAAAAGCCTTTTAAGCATCACCTGAAATATCGTGTCAATACAGGTATTCCTCGACTTACGACTACAATGGATCCCCACATTTCTGTTGCTAAGCAAGATAGTTGTTAAGTGAATCACTGCAGATGTTAAGTTAGTAATGCAGTTGTTAAGAGAATCCGGCTTCCCCATTGACTTTGCTCGTCAGAAGGTCCCTAAAGGCGATCACAAGATCCCAGGACATTGTAACCGTCATAAATATGAACCAGTTGCCAAGCGTACAAATTTTGATCACATGATCAAGGGGCTTACTGTAATGACATAAGTTGAAAAATGGTGATAAGTCATTTCTGTTAGTGCTGTTGTAACTTTGAATGGTCACCGAATGAACTGTTGTAAAAGTTGACTATCTCTAAAACATTTGCAAATAAGTATTTTAATACCAATATTTTTGTTGGTTGCTATGATACCTCCTATGAGGTATGCAGTTTTGGAATTTAGCTGTACTTTAAACAGAAATAGTGACTTACTGGATATGCCAGGAGTGGGCACTAAACTAATTTTTCTTATTTAATATTTTATTTCAGTAGCATGCTCATCTCCTGTTGACCTCCATTGAGAGAAAAGAGGCTTGGTTCATATTCTGGGTTTAAGATCTGTTTGATTTGCCTAGTTTTGGTTTGAACTATTAATGGTAAACTGAGGTCTGTGGCCTAGTGACAACTAGTGTGATTAATTCTATAAAATTAATTCTATAATTAATTCTATAACGCACCATGATTTAGTGGAATCTATTCGCAATTAACAACAACAAACAGAATACATCCAGACACAGACATTGTTAGCTAAATTTGGTTTTTAGTGTATATATATGTGTGTGTGTGTGTGTGTGTGAGAGAGGGGTCTTTGTGCTCTCTGAGTTTGGTTGTTTTCTTGCAAATATTTCATTACCCAAACTAGATAATAGCATCTGTGCTAGATGATGAACTAGCTCTGATGAAGCCACCTAGTTTGGGTAATGAAATGTTTGCAAGAAAATAACCAAGCTCAGAGAGCACCAAGGACACCTCATTTCAGCCCTGAGCTCCTTTATCAATACATACGTTTTTGGGAGAGGCTGCTTTCACTGAATATCATATGTCAATCTGAAGGAGATGGGTGGAGAGTGACTGCTGAGGGAAGAAAACTGTGACCTAATTTGGGCTGGGCTGGTCACTAACTAGGGAAAATCCTACATTGCTTGGGACAAAGAAATGTGGCTATTGCTTGGGAAAGGGCAGCTCTGTGCCGCCTTTAGCCAGAAAGCGTTTCCTGTTGCTATTTCAAGCGACTGCATTACTTTCTGCAAAGCCTGATGCTTTCAGTAAAAAGGAAGCTTAAGTTACTATATCTATAAAAGGGCCCTTATTGTGTGTGATGATAGTCCAGCCGCAGAGGAAAGCATCCTGACCTTATGAGAGCAAGCAGGTGGCTATCGCAGACAAAGGAAATATGAAAGAAATGCAAAAAGAAAATGTCACAGATTAAAAATGTTTTTTCAGTGAGTCAATACCTTCAAAGAAACGTCAGTAAGATATTTAAATGCGTCCTAGATTGCCTAGTTTTGTGTGTTTTGTAAATACTTTCTTTAGAATAGAAGATGCTATATTGTCCTCTTGTTATTAGTTAAAGAAGAAATTTATGAGCTCATTGTTTTATTTAAGGAAATATAGACAACTAGCAACAGATTGAACAAATCTATTGAAATGCATTCACCATTGAGTTATAGCTTTTTTCAGAAGTTTACAAAAAAACCTGCAGTTCAGAACATGCTGTATCTCATGATAAAGTTGTTAGATCACCAAGAAGGGAATCTAGAACACAAAAGTTTTAAGCAGTTGCAAAAATCATACATATCACTGGTACTGTCTGTTATCAATAAGTATCCATAACTATCTGGTGGATATGCTGAATATGAAAAGTTGGGTTGTTCATGTTTTTTGCCTGTATCATGAATAGATCTGGAAAACAGATGAAATATATTATGTTAGTACCAAACATAATGTTTGGAATTCATTTCTGAACATATTTAGAATTATATTATTTTAATATTTTTGTTCTTTTTGCTTTAAGAATATACATTGATTAATGCTTGATTCGCTAAACATTTACT